GTGATCCACCCACCTCGGCCTCCCAAAGTGCTAGGATTATAGGCATGAGCCACCGCCCCCGGCCAATTTTCTTTTTTTTAATTTAGAGAGACAGGGTCTTGCCATGTTGCCCAGGCTGGCCTCAAACTCCTGGGCTCAAGTGAGCCTCCCTTCTCAGCCACCCAAAGTGCTGGGGATTACAGGCATGAGCCACTGTACCTGGCCATGATTGATTTTCTTACGGTGAACCAACCTTGGTTGAATTCCTAGGATAAATCCCACTTGGTCGTGGTGAATAATCCTTTTAATATGCTGTTAAATTCAATTTGCTGGTATTTTGTTGAAGATTTTTGCATCTATATTCATAAGAGATATTGCTCTATAATTTTCTTGTGATATCTTTAATCTGGCTTTAGTATCAAAGTAATGTTGGCCTCAGACTGAATTAGGAAGTGTTTTCTCCTGTTCAGTTTTCTAGAAGAGTACGAGAAGAACTGGTGTTAATTCTCCTTTAAATGTTTGGCAGAATTCACCAGTGAAGCCATCTGGTCCAGGACTTTTCTTTGTTGGGAGGTTTTGATTGCTGATCCAATCTCTTTATCTGTTATAAGTCTCCTGAAATTTTTTTATTTCTTTTTGAGTCAGTTTAGGTTATTTGTGTTTTTTAAGGAATTTACCCATTTATTCTAGTTTTTCTAACTTGTTGGCAAATAATTGTTCATAATATTCTTTTATATCATTTTTCATAATCTTTATAATCTTTTTTATCATCTGTTATCATTTCTGTAAAGTTGGTGGTCCCACTTTCATTTCTGATTTTAGTTATTTGTGTCTTCTGATTTTTCCTTGTCAGTCTAGTTAATGCTTTCTCAACTTCGTTGATGTTTTCAAAGAACCAACTTTTGGTTTCATTGATTTTTATTGTTTTTCTGTATTCTGTTTGTTTGTCTCTGTTCTAATCTTTACTATAACATTTCCTTCCTCTGCTGGTTTTGGGTTTAGTTTGCTATTCTTTTTCTACTTCCTTAAAGTATAAAGTTATGTTATTGTTTTGAGCCTAAGTGATCTGTGGGATACATAGCTCGGATGGCCTGCCACTCAGAAAGTGAATTTGGTGTCTGTTGTATTTGACCAGGTGCAGACACACAAGCCTTACTTGGTGACCTTCGACCTCACAGACCCTGGGGCCGTAGTTGCAGCAGCAGCTGAGATCCTGCAGTGCTTTGGCTATGTGGACATACTTGTCAACAATGCTGGGATCAGCTACCGTGGTACCATCATGGACACCACAGTGGATGTGGACAAGAGGGTCATGGAGACAAACTACTTTGGCCCAGTTGCTCTAACGAAAGGTAACAGTCTTGAGAAAAGAGCAGTGATAAGTGATATGTTGGCATTCTTTTTACTTCACTCGGATCCTTTCCAGCTAAACGTTCCCTATCTCCATCCTCTCTATTGCCCTGGAGTGGGTGTTAGGTGTTATTGTCACAGTTTGGGTATTTGCTTTATAGCTTCCAATCAAGGTGTTCTCTTTAGTGACGGCCACATTTGTGCAGCATTACCTACATGTCTTTTTCATGGTGTCTGCAAACCCCTACACGGTGGGGATATTTTTATGTCCCACCACGGATTTCAGTCCAGGGGAGAGGCTCCAGCAGGAAAAGGGAACTGAGCTAACCATTTGCAGTGACCTCCATCCCTGTTTCCTTGCCTCTCTCCTCTCTCCTGCCAGCCTGCTGGCACTCTGCTGAGCATAGGAGGCTAGCAGTTCCAACATAGTCCTCCACCCTAAAGGGTTTTCACTGTTCTCCCTTACTCTGACTAAATATCAAAAGCACGGTCGCCTTCCATCAGCATCACATGCAATGACTGGAAGCAGGGTGCTCGTCTAAGCCTCTGCCTCTGTCCTCAGCACTCCTGCCCTCCATGATCAAGAGGAGGCAAGGCCACATTGTCGCCATCAGCAGCATCCAGGGCAAGATCAGCATTCCTTTTCGATCAGCATGTGAGTACTGCTCTCTCCCACAAAATGCTCTGCTTTATGGTTTTTTCCTGATTAGAAAAGTAACACATTTACTATCTAGAATGTAGACACTGTAGAAATAAACTATCCAGAATGCAAAGGCACTTTAGAATGTGTTCTCCAGAGCCACATGTCTGGGATCAAATCCCAACCCTACTTTTTGTCCCCTGTGTGACCTTGGGCAAGTATCCCCACTTCTCTGTGCCCTGCCTTCAAGTGGAAATGGAGACAGCCTCAGTCTTAGCCCAGAGGACTGCTGTGAGCACAGTGCTTGGAGCTGCGCCAGGCACTAAGCACTAGGCATGTCCTAGCCACTCCTACTGTTACGATTATTAGCTTGTCCCACAGATATAACCATGCCATCACTTTGGGGCATATGCCTCCACAATTTTTCTTACATGTAATTCAAACATGCAAAAATGGGATGGCATTATTCATACTGCTTTGTAGCTTGTTAATCCCACTTAACAATGTATCTTTCTACCTCAGCATGTATGGATTTACCTCATCCTTTCAATATAGTAGTCCACTGAATGCATGTGACATAATTGATTTAGCCATTTTCCTGGACACTTGAGGATTTTTTTTTCCCCCGGTCTTTGACCCTTAGCAGCAGTGTGCTATGTAGAACATTCTCAAATATTTATATCTTGGGGCACTCAATGGGAGGGTTTCAATAAAAAGGGTTGTAAGGTAATTTCACAAACTGTCCTTTCTTTGCATCACCTCCTGAAAGGAAATACTGCCTTATCTCCTCTCAGCCACCCAAAGGCTAGACCCAGCCACAGCCTGGTCAGCAAAGGCAGGGAAATCTGAGCTGCTGCAGCACTTTGCAAGGGCAGCCACAAACATCCAGGTCCATGACACTATGTGGCCACCTGTGAACTGGGAGTGTAACATAATTTATTCTTTCTTCCAAGATCTGGATCCCAGCTGTACCTTTTGGCTCTGGTATACAACCAGAAATTTCTGGTTGTATTTTCTTGGACACATTACTTAACTATTCTGATCCTGTTTCCTTACATATTAGTGAGATTTACAATCATCATACATGCTTGTACATACATGCTTTCCCTGTTTATTAATATTCTCTTTCAACTTTGGATAGGACACCATCTAAGGCTTCTCAAATGGTGCAGGAAAAAAAACAGTATATATAGAATCATAACTAATAAAGCAAACGAGTTAAAATGTTAAGAATGGGTAAATCAGGGTAAAGGGTTTGTTTGTTTTGTTTTGTTTTGTTTTGTTTTTGAGACAGAGTTTCACTCTTGTTGCCCAGGCTGGAATGCAGTGGTGCAATCTCGGCTCACTGCAACCTCCGCCTCCCGGGTTCAAGTGATTCTCCTGCCTCAGCCTCCTGAGTAGCTGGGATTACAGGCACGTGCCACCACACCTGGCTAGCTTTTGTATTATTGGTAGAGACAAGGTTTCACGTGTTGGCCAGGCTGATCTCAAACTCCTGACCTCAAGTGATCCGCCCACCTCAGCCTCCCAAAGTGCTGGGATTACAGGCGTGAGCCACTGCGCCCAGCTGGAGTTCTTTATACTAAATTATTTTCAAGTTTTACTTTGATTTATAATAATACCACTGATTTTTGTTGTCTGTTTGGCCTGCTGACTGCAGTAAGGCGTACAATGATTGGTCTCCATATTCAGCTTTATAATGACCAGGCTGAATATGGAGTGCCTCTTGGGCAAGTTGGTTAACCCAGATAAGTAGCAGCCTTCTCACCTATAAAATGGGGAGAAGGGCATTCTCTCTCTCACGCGGCTACAGTGAAGACCAAGTCACGTGACCCACGCAGTGTGCTTAGTACTGGGCCGCACACTGGCAGGGTAAGTGATGTGGACAGTGGCGAGGTCAGCACAGCCTGGCTGAGAACTCACAGCCTGAGAGCTCTGGGGAGAACCAGCTGTCAGAGTGTAGCCTTCTATTTTGGGGACTTACAGGATAACCCACTCTTCCCTGTCCCCAAGCCTGGGCTGTACTCTTGGAATCATGGCTGATAGGGGCAGTCCTCTCCATCCACCCACAGCCAACCCATCCAGCCCCCAGCAGCTGTGCCCCAAACCAACGGAGCAGGCCCAGCAAGGCACTGCAGCAAGCTCAGACGCTACTGAACTGCCTCATGTGACTTGCTGCGACACTTCCTTGCTTTCTCCCTTCCTGTTTCCTTAGCTGACGGATGCCCCTTCTTTCCTAAGGCTAAAACATTTACAATTCTGAATTGGAGGAAACCGATTTACTGTGGAGACGCTGGTATGTTTCCCAGGAATGTCATTATAGGGTCACTGTGTTCCCATTCAGAGCACCTTTTACTGGGTTGTGAAGCCCTTGCTCGAGGGCAGACGCAGCTATGTCTTGCAGGTGGAGTAAGCTCTGTAGCTCTTCTAGATGCAAAGCCACTGCCTGGATATTTGTCAAAATGAGATACATAAGAAGGCAGGCCTGAATTTTTTACACCCATGAAGGCCCACTGATGGGGCCAGTTCTGTCACCTGGTAACTCACTGGGGAGGACTAGGCAGCCAGAGCTACATGGCAGGTCTGCGGGGCCAGCATGGGAGCTGTCCGGCCTGCCACCAGGTGAAGAAAGCTACTTGCAGGAACAGTAGAATAGGTAAGAGTTCATTTCTGTATTAAAAGATGTATATATATATTTTATGGAAAATGTGTAAAATCACATGGCTATACGTAGGATACATTAAAGAAATAAATCACTGGGCATGGCTGCTTACTCCTATAATCCCATCGCTCTGGGAGGGTGAGGTGGGAGGATTGCTTGAGGCCAGGAGGTCGAGGCTGCAAAGAGCTATAATCCTATGATCATAGCTCTTCTCCAGCCTGGGTGACAGAGAAGATGTCTTCTCTAAAAACGCAAAACAGAATTAAACAAAAATCCTGGGAAACTGTTAGCACTGATTATCTCTAGGAATGGAATTTGGAAGACAGGAGGATTTTTTTTTTTTTTTTTTTTACTTTCTGTCCTTTTATATATCATTTGAATGTTTTACCCAGTAGGCATTCAGTTTTTTTTTTTTTTTAACTTTTAACTTGGAATAACTTCAGACTTAAAGTTGCAGGAACAGCACAAATCACTCCCATGCATGCTTCATGCAGATTCCCTAATAACCTTTTTACCTTATTTCCTTTATCATATTCCCTGTGTATATGCATATATACCATTTATAATATATATAAAACTATATGTATATATAGCTTATAATTTTTTTCCTGAACCATTTGAAAGGAAACTGGAGACATGATGCTCGTTTACTCCTATTTCAGTGTGTTTCCTAAGAACAAGGGCACAGTACACTTCTCAAAGTCAGGAAATGAACATTGTTATAATACTGTAATCTTAAATTATAAAACCAGGTTTTAAAGCTGCAGTCCCAGCTGAGGCGGGAGGATCACATGAGCTCAGGAGTTGGAGTCCAGCCTAGGCAACATAGCAAGACTGATCACAAGTAAAACCAGGTTTTGAGAACAGAGAGCGTGAATGGTGGTGAATAGTTGGGTACCAGGCCATGCCCACCCCGGCGCACTCACTCCCCTGCCTCTCCGTCCACACGTGTAGACGCAGCCTCCAAACATGCAACCCAGGCTTTCTTTGACTGTCTGCGCGCCGAGATGGAACAGTATGAAATTGAGGTGACCGTCATCAGCCCCGGCTACATCCACACCAACCTCTCTGTCAATGCCATCACCGCGGATGGATCTAGGTACGGAGGTGAGGCCCGGTTTCTCTTTTCTCCTATGAAAATCTGTCGGTCAGCCACAGTGAGACATGCGGTTCTTACATCAGGGATTCTTTGGTCATTTTCATTTGGAATAGAACTTCTAAAGTGAAAAAACTGAGGTGTTGGTACTAGATATGGACTATTGAATAATCTTCGTTTACCCCACCATGGCCTACCCTTAGTGTGAACGCCACCACTGCAGCGTTCAGAACAGGACCTCTGTGGGCAGGACTCAAGGGCTAAAAGGAAGTTGCCAAGCTGGGATGCCACCAGACTCCCAACTAACCCGTTCGCAGATCCCGAGTCCACGGAGTATTATCAGCATCGGGATTGAGTGAACTGACCTCATGGCAAGTGTAGGGTGTTTGATGGTCTGTCTCTGTCCCGTAGGCTTGAGAAATGACTGATTCCGGGCCAGTCTTCAGGGTGAGGCCGAGTGCAGCAGTCTCAGCACCTTCATCTTGTCTCATTTGGAGACAGTGCAGAGCTGACCTGCAGTCACCACTCGCGGGCAGAGCAGCCGGCCCCAGCATGCAGTCTCAGGCCAAGCAGAGACCAGTGTGCCCGTGATCACTGGAGCCCTTGGAGCTGGGGCTGCCTCCCCTTGCTTGGAACAGGGCCTGCTCACCCCTCCAGTGCTGTCCTGCCATGTCCTCCTCCCTGAAGTGATCTCTTGGGGTTTGTGCTGTGATGTCTGCCAGGGGCCTCATGGTCCTGCACCCAGCCCAGCCAGGCCTGAACCAAGACTGCCCATGTCCTGGCAGAGCTGCGCTCACACAGCGAGTCCTCTTTTCCCACAGTAGACACTATACACAGGCATGGGGCTTCATACAGCTTTACACCTGTTTAAACCTAGAAGACGCCACTGAAAAAATTCTCTCTGTGGCATTTCAAAATAAGCTGTAATCCAAAACTTCCTACTTTTCTGCATTAACAAAAACACAATGAGAACAGACATTGGTGAGGGAGCTCAGGCAAGCTGGACAACTTAATAGTGGTTTCATATGGCTAGGCACTGTGGCCCACACCTGTAATCTCAACACTTTGGGAGGTCAAGTCAGGAGGATCACTTCAGCCTAGGAGTTTGAGACCAGTCTGGGCAATAGTGCAAGACCTTGCCTCCACAAAAAATATGAAAATTAGCCAACCATGGTGGCACCGCCTGTAGTCCAGCTACTCAGGAGGCTGAGTCAGGCAGGAGGATTGCTCGAGTCCAGGAGGTCGAGGCTGCAGTAAGCCATGATTGTGCCACTGCACTCCAGCCTGGGCAACAGAGCGAAACCCTGTCTCAAAAAAAAAAAAAAAAAAAAAAAAAAAAAGTGGTTTCACATGGTCTGTGCTAGTGGCCGCTCCTGTGTGCCTGCCAGCTGGTCCTACTTTGCTGGCAAAATTGTCAAATTACTAGGGTAGAAGGAACATCAGTTGCTGTTAACCTAACACCTCCTTCTAATCTCTTCCAGCTGTCCCTTCTAACACCTAAAACAAACTAAGGATTTCTTCCTGTTTCTCATCCAGTTAGTACTTGACATCGAGAACAGGGACATGTGTCTGCTCCTGACTCAGTGAGCTTGTGCCTGTGGGCGTCAGTAGTCCCCAGCCACCTGTCTGGCCACCCTGAAGCCAGGCTACCCAAGACAAATGAGGTGGCACAACATCCCTTAGTCTTCAGTTGTTCTAACAGGCACACGTTTCCCAGGTCAGGAAGCTGCTTTTCAGATGCAGTGGGAGGGGCTCACTCTGTGCCTTTGCTGTGGACCACCAGGCAGACAGACTCACTTTGGTTCCAAACCCTAGCTGGGATCCTCAGTCTACCTTGTTTCCACATCCCACCCCGCTCTCGCTTCCCCCACTGACCCACATCCAGCTGCAAAATGGTTCCTCCTTTCCTGGGAGCATGGAATCCCTCAGGGGTGGTGGCACACCACCGGCTTCCTGGCCCTGGGAAGAGCTTCGTGGTGGGAAAGGCAGCAGGCTGACCTGACGGCTCACATCAGCTCCACTCCTCAAGAGGGACCTCTGCTTCCAAGTTAGTTCATGTGTTTCTTCTGTTTTATTTATTTTAGTTATGGACACCACCACAGCCCAGGGCCGAAGCCCCGTGGAGGTGGCCCACGATGTTCTTGCTGCTGTGGGGAAGAAGAAGAAAGATGTGATCCTGGCTGACCTACGGCCTTCCTTGGCCATTTATCTTCGAACTCTGGCTCCCGGGCTCTTCTTCAGCCTCATGGCCTCCAGGGCCAGAAAAGAGCGGAAATCCAAGAACTGCTAGTACTCCGACCAGCCAGAGCCAGGGCAGAGGAGCAGCGCTCTTAGGCTTGGTTCCTCTACAAGGGACAGTTGTATTTGTTGAGACTTTAATGGCGATTTGTCTCACAAATGGGAAAGATTGAAGAAACACGTCTCACGCAGATCTGCTGGCAGAGGAAGAGAACCAAAAATGGCAGCAAGCTTCCTCCCAGGGTGAGGGGAGACACTTCCGGAGTAAACGTGGAGCTGGGGTTTAACCCTAAAACCAAGAAATAAACATCTCAAACAGTAAGAGTGGTAGTCTTCAAGGACTAGAACCTTGTGTCCTTTGAATTCTGGCCCTGCCAGCTCCTCGAAATTGTTTCAACCTTGGAATCAGAAGATGTGATGTCACCTGACCCAGCTGCTTTTGTATTTGACTTAAACCTCATTGTTTGGGCAGAAAGGCCACCTCCAGTACTCAAGGGAGAAAGCTGTAGTTTCAAGAAGTCAGTAGTCACACCCATTTCCGGGCCCTGTGATATCTCATCCAACATAAAAAGCGGGCCAGTATGTAATGGCTTATTTGGCGTATCCCAAGGGATGGCTTTAGCACCTCATAGGAATTTCCGTTTCTCTCTCAACTCTCACTGCATCCCTGTAGGATGCCAGGCACCACTCCAAGCAGAAGGTGACGTTAGTAAAGAGAGAGCAGCCAAAAGGGAGAGGAGGATGCTACATGGCCCCGTGCATCCCTCTAGAAGTAAAACCGTCAAATTGGCCAGCTGGGCAGATTCTACAGCAGCCCCTGGTCTGGTGGAAGTGAGCCTTGGTTAGCTGTGACGAGTTGGATCATAGCCAGAAAGAATGCCTGTTTCTGCCTTTCTGATTTAGTAAAAATACATGGTTGAGGCTCACTGAGTAGGTCAAGTTCATTTCTAGTGTTTAGGAAGAAACTTTTCCTGTTATTGAAACTGAAAATTGAAATGTAGGTCCACTGCAGACTTCCCCAAATTGGATTACAAATCTCCTATCATATCATACTGACATCTTGCACCATGTCCCAACTCTGGCCTTGTTGAGCCTATATTTTATGACCATTATATAACATTGGCAGCAACATTTTTTTTTT